TCGAACTTTGAACAGCTCTCCTGACCAAACTATTGGAACCATAATTCCCAGATTGTGGCTTCTCCCTATATTTTAGAGATCATAAATCTGAATCCGTCCAAAAATAATGTGTCTTTATTCAGAGAAGGTTCGCTTTTGCGTATGATTTCTTATCTTAAAACACCGTCTGCACTAATTAATCATCATATTTAAGGTCACCTTCTCGAACCATTGAGATTAAGTCCTAAAACGCGAGGATCCGATCATTGGATCAATAGTTATTCGTAGAGGTCCGTTTTTTATTTTTCGCACTGCAGATACGAATAACTTTTAAAAATTTTTTAAAAATATTTTCGTAACTAAGTTGTCAGATTACATTGGTTCTCCCCTTCTCGCTTTATATGTTCTTATTTGTGCTTCATATTGTATTTTTCTAGAATTTGTGTGATTTTTTTCAAGATAAAATTTTGTTTACAATCAGTCTTATTTTTTCCCCTTTTTTTCTGACAAATTAAACGCGCTATAGTAAGAAGATGTCATAAAAGATCTCTCTATTTACGCTTCGAACCTCTATTTGCGCCTCTGTTTTCATATTTTGTAATCTGGCAATTTTATTACGATTTTATTATTATTATTTAAAATCATTCTTGAAAGATTCCGGAACATGTAAGTTCATTTGAATTCGCTACTTGCTTTATAGGTTATGTTTTCTTTGGTTCTGCATTTTTCTTGCATTTTATTTTTTGTTTTTTGCTTGATATGTTTTATTTAGTATATTGTTTTATTTTCGCTTCAATTTTTTTGGTTACTCCTCACACTATTGTATTGATATATTTTGCTTGGGCTATATTAATGCAATATTAATAAGCACTCCTTTTGGCGGATATAATCGTGTGAGCTGATGCCGAGTTTATGTCTTTTTATTACTTTGTTTTCTGGATCTTTAATATTTTTTCAATAAATTTTTTTTTAAATATTTCTAAAAATATTTCAAGTATTTATTTACTTATTTCTTTTACATTTATTTCTGAATAAAGGCTGTAAAATTATTAAAATCTTATAACGAATAAATGCAAAAACAATATTTATTCGTTACTCAAAGAAAGGTTGTTATTTTTTTGTATCATAAATTCAATTTATTCTTATAATTCTTTTAAAATACTTTATAATTTTCCCCTTTTTATTTGATTATTTACAAATCAATATTCATAAAAATATATTTTTACCTTAACTAATAATCTTGGTCTCTTAAGAATAATTAATCTACATCTTTAAGCTCCAGTTTACTATCTTGTTAAGAAAATTTAAATAAATCAAAAGAGATTTTTTTAAGAGTTGCAAAGACTAGTAGTCTTGTAAAATAATTAGTTTTAAGTGCTGCATTTTTTTACAAACTAAGGATACTATTCTTTCTAAGTACTTAGGCTCTAAAAGAAGTTAAACTATTTTAAACAATAATTTGAATTTCATAATTTGTGTTAAAACATGGCTTAGAAAAATTCCGAATTAAGTAGCATACACTTTTTAAATTTAAATTTGGAAAAAAAAGAACTTCTTCAATTTTAGTTAAAGAATATTGCTTTATCTAAGGAGCGGTATATTGAAAAAATTGAAAGATAATCCCACTTTGTAACTTTATGCAAACTGATAAAAAAAGAGAATTTCCTTTTGCTCAAACTACTTTGTCAGTTCTAAGAATAAAGAGAAGTGTATTGCATATAGAAAAAAATTTGCAAACCCATGACGAAACTTATTTTTATTTCATGTTTTATTTTAACTTCTTACACCGGTATTCATCACGCTGATTTAAATCTTCTTTAAGGTTAAATCGAGCGTGATTTAATCAGGGGATCAGAATATCAACGCGTAAAAGTAACTCGTGGGTTAACTCTCAGTCTTTATTCACCAGTCGTCTTCAACGAAGGGTTTCTTAGCTCAAAGCCTACTCTAGCAAGAAGTGTAACAAATTCTCTGATTGTATATAAAATAAACCTCTCGTAAGAAAATTCATTCAATGCTGAATTTATACGCTTCACATAGAAAAGGGGCAATGGAATGAATACAAAATCGTAATTTTATTTCACTTAAAAAAAACTTGAGTTTTCAAAATTATTTCACTTCATTTTTAAAATTTAACTTCCATGCAATGTACTTGCTGTTTTCTCTTTTAAACATTTTTGATTTTTGAAGAAAATAGTAAATTTTATAGGTTATATTGGATTGTAATAATTAATTTTAAAGCTAATACATTCATTTACTAATATAGATGATTTATAATAAAGAAATACAAATTTATTTAAATTATTAGAAACTTAAAAATTGAAATTTCCAATTTTTTTAATAAAGAATAATGACAATAAAATCGTCATATATTGTCCTCGTGTTTATGTATGGTACGATTTCATATAAGTTTGTTGCAATGAGGTTTAATTTGTCCTTTTATTGGATATATTCACCGAAAATGGCCGCAGAACTACAACTTCAGTTGTAAACAAATTTTTCCAGTTGAAAATCAATTGTAACTTAAGATATATGCTTGTATTAAGGGCATTTTTGTCGCATCTAAAGCAATCAGCTCTTAAATTCGACATTCAAAGTACCTAAATTTCAACGATACATTTAGACAATGTTTTCATTCACTTTTGCCTTTCTTGTAATTTAATCTTGTTATCAAAATTTTAAAACCTCTCCAATTAGCTAGAATGCTCCATACTCGATCACAATACAAGTTTGAAATGTTTACTACCGTTTGTCGTTAAATCAAGTTTAACGTCAATCAAAATTTCTACCATTTTAAGATAAGTTAGAGAACTTAAAATGCAACTAGAGCTCTGCACTGGATGATTATACAACTTCTCATTGCTTTTTGATTACTATACTCGCTTTTTGATTACTATACTCAGAATATATTGCTATATTATCGTCTATAGGAATTAATTGTCAATCAAAATTATGATCACTTCCAAATTAAGGGAAACTCTAAAATCGTTTTAGTTGCAATTCTTTGTTTGATGACATCAAAAATTTCAATCGTTTTTTAATCGCTAAAAACAGAATTTATCGTCAATTTATTGCAAAATGGAGTAAATCGACAATTAAAATTTTGACCATTTTAAGAATAGCTAGAGAACTTAAAATGTAATTTGATCTCTGCTCTGGTTGAAAATACAATTGCCCATTGTTTTATGATTGCTACACGCAGAATTCATCGTGATATTATTGTCTGAAAAGAATTTTTCGCCAATAAAATTTATGACCACTTTAAAATTATCTGGAAGTCAAGAATTTTAACTGAAATTCTGTGTTGGAGAACATCACAAGTTTCAATCCGTAAATTGCTGAAAACAAAGTTTTATAATTATATTATTGCAAATTAAAATTTATCATTAATCAAAATTCAGATCAATATTTTTGACTAGCTAAGGGATTAAAATTGTAGCTGCACCTGACACAAATCTTAGTTTCAACTATCGCTTAATAGTATCAACCAGAACTTTATCATCATATTATCTCCAAATTAAAATTATCATCCAGCGAAATTTTCACTTGTGTTTTTCGACTTAACTTTTAAAATTTGCACTGGAGTTCTAAGCTTGTTGAAAAAAGTTTCGATGGTTTCTTTACTACTGTAAAAGAATTCAGTATCGATCTCAATCTCAACAGTTTTGTGATTTTTGTTTAATTTTCACTTGGAACTCTGTGACGGGGACAATAGCAGTTACTATTGTGTCGAAACGAAATTTTGACGAAACGAAATTTTTGTGTCGAAACGAAATTTTCTCAATCAAAATTTTTACTTCTTTCCTACTAGCTAATTTGCTTAAAGCTGTATTAGATCTTTGTATCTGTTGTCAATACAAATATAGGGGACAGAGGACTACTGTGGACATGGGGTTAGAGTAGATATCTTAATTTTTTTTTCTTATTTATTTTTTCTTATTTATTGTTCAAACTTCTTCGGGGAGCTATCGTAGATTGGCAACAATGATCAATGTGCTAAAAAGATGGACTAACCTGAATAACTTTTGACCTAATGATTTGATCTTCACGTTCTAGGACTCAATCTTAATTGTTCGAGGGCGTGACTTCAAATACACTAATTAGTTAGTGCAAACGATGTTTTAAATTACGAAATTAGACCAAAAAATTTACTTTTTCTGAATAAACATAAATTTTTTTTGACGGATAAGGATTTCTGAGTCACAAAGCATAGGGAAAAAGAAACATACTCACAAAACATATCTATATCTCTATAATTTATAACTATATAACTAAATCTCTATAATTTATAACTGTATAACTAAATCTCTTATTATATCTCTATAAATAAACACAGAAAATCTTCATATGAAGAATTTTATTAATATAAGAAGTGCTTATAAATTAGAAAGAAACAACAAATATTTCGAAACTATTAATTTTTTATATTCATTACATTTCTTTAAAACTGAAGATAATTTAACCATTTCACGATACAAAAAGAGTTTAAATTTTTGACACTCCGAAAAGTTTAAAATATTTAAGCTGACGTGAAGTTCCAAGAATAAAATGATGGCGAAAATTAGCTGAGTCATGCACAAAACGAAAGCAAAAAATAAAGCCCAAAAGAAACTTTAGCGATGGTATTTTTAAATTAAATAAAAGTTCCATAAAATATTGAAGTGTTCACCAGTGCACGTAGAAAAGGATAATTTTTAAGAAAATGTTTTTTCCATATAACTTCGCTTAAAAACTAATTTTGAAAAAATTTTTGTAATTTTTTATTGGTTTACAGCTTTTTTTCTAGCTCAAAACTTTTTTGACAAGTGAGCAAATTCACAAGAATTATTGCTGGTAGCATTACTTAAATGACATTAAGGAATAAAGTCGAAATTTTGTTTTATAAAATTAGCTTTTGATTTACCATTTAAATGTTTGAGACTTTAACTAATTCTTTTATATTGAATTACTATGGAATGCAAGTAAAAACAATTTTATCTGGAATAAAAATTCACATTTTTTCTAGTTTTATAATTAAAATAATGAATAAAGTTAGTCTTTATTCTGATAAGCCTAAAAAATTTTTAAATAAATAAATATACTGTAATAAATTCAATATCATTTCATTTATTTAAAGTGAAGTAATTATTGTAACAAAATATTTTAGTAATATCAAAAATAAATTAAGTTACATTGTTCTCTTAAAATGTGTTTGAAAAATTCTGTGTCGCGTAGAGCTATTTTGTGATTAATCATTAAATTTAAGGAAATAACTTGAAAATTATATCAAGTTTTCGGTGTTCAGAAAATAGTTTATGTTTGCAACACTACATTCATCAGAACTATTTGCATTTATAGATAATCTTTTTTTAAAATAATCAGTTGCATGCTTAGATTTTTTACTATAATTATAATTTTTATCTAATATTTACTTCCATTTCTTTCCAGATTTATTTCTGGAATGTTTATATTTATTTTAAATTATATTAAGTATAAACTTCGCCCTTCAATTTACTTTAGGTAGGGTAAACTAACCAGTGAAGGAACACTTGAGCTTCGCTTGCCTTTTAAAAAATCATATTAATTTCAAAATTCGTAATTTCAGTTAAATGACAGTGTCAACATATTTGTTACTAATTGCAAATTATGTAAAAAAATTTTAGAGAACTTACATAATATTGTTTTAAAGTTTTGGAGGTTCAAATAACAAGTAGTAAGAAGACCAAGTGAAGGAACAGCTCTTACCAGTGAATGAACACCCAGTAAAGGAACACTTAATTTTGGTTATTTTTTAATGCTCTTTATGAATTTATAAGCCATACAAATATTTAAAAACAAGCCTATTCTTGAAATTATAACATATAAATACTTGGAAAATGTTAACTTTTTTTTGTAATCATGAATTGAAAATTAAAGTGTCAACATATTAACACATACTGTTCATTCACTGGGAAATCTATGCCCAGTAAAGGAACATGCCTGTTCCCTCACTGGTTAGAAGTTGTTTTTCGTATTTTTAACATACTTTTGATGCGGAACATCACTAAAGGTACAAGAAAATTAAAGTTTATCTTTTATTTTCATTAACTTAGAAAAAAAACCAGTAAAGGAACACTTGTTCCTTCACTGGTTTTTCATCGTTTGGTGATCCAGTGAATAAACACCCCCTTATCTCAGTACTTTATTATGCTATGATGCTTAAAAAAAATAAAACGTAACTTCAATAACTATATTTTGAATTCTCTTTTTCACAGTGAGAAAAATAAAACTATTACATGCAATTAATTCCACTTCAAACATATAAATACAAACACTCACCTTATAATTTTTTCAAAGAAACAAGGTGTTGCAGAGATAATAACAAATTCAAAAATTTTTCCAGAGAAGTCTATTTGACCAGGTATTCCAAAACATTGCTAGATGACTTCCTATTGTTTGGCAGTAAGCTATTGTTACCCATCAATCTAAAGAAAACCTTTCAAATTCTTATTTTTAATGAATATATATAAAATGTTCCTTCACTGGGTAGTGTTCCTTCACTGGTTGGTTTACCCTACACCCTTTTTTTAGCTTTTTTTTACTTTTTTTTCAATTTATTATTTTTTAGAGGATTGATAATAATTTATTTGCTTTCTTTAAAAATAATATCACTTATTTGAACTCGGTGCCATCTATCTCTAATGTAATTTATTTTAAATTTTAATGTTGTATCTAATTGCATCTGACAAGTGCAGTTAATAAATAAAAGTAATAATTTTATTTGAAATGTTTTCATAACAGTTACAGTTTTTTAATGAACTTTTGATTCAGATATTTCTCTTTAAATATAAACCCTAAAGAACAAGAAGCCCAAGTGATTTGTTTTAGAAATAAAGTTCTTAAATTACAATAAAAACAACTTTCTCAATTCTTATAATTCGTTTACTTAATCCTTTAATTTCATGTCATTAATTCTTTAATAGCTTATTGAATATTTATTTATCCAAAAGTTAATATTTTTTCCCTTTTTACTTTTATGATATAATGCGCTATTTAAATATAAATTGCTTAACAAAAAGTAAATAAATTTTAAATATTATCATTTTTGCTCCAATTTACGATTTTAAAAAAGAGAAATCAGACGGTTTTAAAAATAGAAGATTCTTTTAGGAAAAACCTATAATCTTATGAGATTTTTTTTTTCGATGTCTTTTTCAAATTTTATGGAGATTAATCAATAATTCATTACCGTGAATTAGATGAATAAAACAAAAAGAATAATAATTTCTTTTACTAATTTCATAGTCAGTCAAAAGTATTTATTTCATTTTTTAAGATTATCTGTCTTAATAAATAGGTAATTATAACTTAAATGAATAATATTCTGAAAATTACTCTATTTCACGCTTGAATCTAGTTTCTTCGACTTGAACGACATACGGCTACCAGTTAATTAAATTATTTTAATGGGTTCTCTTTTCAAGTTCAAAATAGGTTTTTAAGTAATATGAAATCTGATATGCTTCCCTGATTCCTTTTCTTCTTTTCTTTTAATTTTTTCTTGTACATTTTTTTTCCAGTTACTTACTTAACTTTTTTGTTTCCAGGCAATTTCAGTTTCACTTATCGTTAACTTTTACGACTTTTTTTTTAAATCATTGAATTGTAAATCACTTAATTTCACGCTTGTTCAAAATTTCTGGAGGACTGAATTTGATTTTCTTATGTTTAATTCGAGTTCAAATTAATTTCATATTATTCATTTTTAGTTCATGCACGTTAATATTTAATGAACGATAAGTATGTAATATAATAAATATCATTTTGCTTTTATAATCACAGCTATAATATTAAATTCGTTTAATCTATAAATATTACAGGGAAGAGGTGGCTAGGGAGGATATTTCTTACAAATTAGTCAAAATGTCATTTTTAACATAATTAACGCATGAAGCATGTTTTAACAATAATTTGAACTTTTTCCTGCATTCCTGTTTTTGGAATTACAAAGTTGCTTAGTTTTTCCTTAATAATATTTTTTTAAAAATGCTGTTCACGCCCATACTAGTCCCACAGTACAAGCTATCCGGCTATTGTGACTGAACTTGATAAGAAAATAAAATTGTATCTAAAATTAAAATGCAATTAATTTCAATCTAAGTCTTATAAAAGAATAACTCTTAACCAATTTTAATTAGAGTACTAATTTTTGATGGATCACATCCCTATACTAAGAAAGACAGTTTGAAGTCAACACTTGAAACAAAATTATTCGATTTAATTTATTTGAAAGCACAGAACTGGACGAATAGTTCCCTTGAAATTGAATTTTTAATCAACGACTTTATTTAAAGTTCGATATCTCAGCAACTATTCGATCAATTTCGCTCACATAATGTATTTTGCCATGTAAAATTGCATTCTTTCATAATATGTGAAAACTATATACCTTTCAATTCAAAATATTTTCGACTGTTATTAAATAAAATAACAAAAATAAATAATAAATACTTACAAATGTTTTTTGCGTGGAATCGTCCTTATTTAAACAAATTTAATGATTGTGTATTCTCTTAAAAACCTCTCGGGATATGGCGAAATACATAAAAAGTAAAATTGACATTAAGGGAACCAAACTTCTGACCAAATTATTAGGACCATATTTGGGGGATCAGAAATCAGAATTAGTCGAAAGTATTGGAAGAAATTTGCTTTCGTGGAGAACTTTTTGATGGAATTAACCCACATTTGCGTTACAAGGCGAGGAAAGCTACGAAAGCCTCCCACGGTCAGCCTGATGGCAAGAGGACTCTAACCCATGATCCTCTACCACTGAGGATATTTTACGTCAGCAATATAGTCGGTGCGGGCCAGGAGCGGAGTTCGTATTGACCAGCCATCGCTTAGATTCGAACCCAGTTCACCTCGTTGAGGCTAGAGCTATCCCCAGAAGCACCACGCCCCATTTGAAGTTATTTTAGGAAGTTATCAGAAGATGTTTTTTTTAACCGTCCTTGAACTGCTGGCCCAATTTCAGGCTTACGACAACCCGTCAACTCTGTAGCCTTGTAATTTTTAACCCAATCCAGTAGATGAAGGAACTCCTGGATTAAGGATTATAAGAAATTTGCCTTCGTGGATGATTTTTTAATGGAATTTAACTACCCCGAAATTTAAGTTACATGGAGAGGAAAACCACGAAAATCACCCTTGGTTAGCCTGATAACAAGGGAACTTTAACCCATGATCCGTCAACCACTAAGGATATTTTACGTCAGCACTATGGTCGGTGCAAGCCGGATACAAATTCGTACAGAACGGTCATCGCTGTGATTCGAACTCGGTTCACTTCATTTGAAGCTCTATTCATTGAGCCTTCACGGCTGCATATGAAGTTGTTGTCTCAAACCATTAAAATTAAGTCCCAGTACATGAAAACCGGACCTTCAGATCAAAATCATTTCATGATGTTTTTTTTCGCACTGTACAATTAGACGTAAAACATAAAATATTTTAACTTTCAACTTTAAATTTGTGTAAGATAAGATCTTTTTCTACAAAAAATAATATTGTGATTGAAAGCTCAGTTGGGTATTTCTATGAGATCATACCTGTTCATAATTTTTTTTAAAAAACGTGACTTGCTTGGCCTCTTTAGAATCACACGCTAAAGTTTATCCCCTTTTATTTTTTTTATTTATTTCGAATCCACCCTCCCAAATAAGGGTGAATCTGGCATTCTTTATTCGTTTTCAAATGAACTTTCAAACGATATAATACGAAGTACCTTATGAACAATTCTATATCACGTGTTTAACAATTAGTTTATTTTGTTATCCGTCAAAAATATTTTTAAAACTTAAATAAAAAGAGTTTTCTATGCGTTGACATACAATACACATGGAAAAGAGAGACGTTTACAAAACAATTGTTTATAACTAAAATATTAATTAGAACAATAAAAACGTGTATCTCATGATAGTTAGAATTTCATTTTTTTTCCATTTAGCATTTAAAATTGTCATATTTCTCCGCTAAAGAAAAAGAGGGTTGAAATAATTTTAACATTATTGATTGATTTTTCTAAATTATTTTAGATTTCTGTTAGCCATCTTTCTTCTTTTAAACATATTTCTCATAAAATACGAATTAATTACTTCCCTTTTTTTATATACTCAAACGTTTTCAGATTTTTTTCCGTTTTCCATTCACAGTATTCTTGTTTTGTTTTTAATTAATTTCTCTCACTTAATTTTTTTTTCTTCTTATTTCTGTCAGTAAAATGTACTTTATTGTATTTATTATTAGTTCAATCATATCTCATATATTCTTGTTCATTTTAGAACCAAAAGATTGAGGAAGCCTTCTAACTATCTAATTATAAATTTAGCTGTGAGTGATATTGTAATGATACACAAGATGATAATTTTCATTTATAATAGTTTTAAAGGAGGACCTGCTGCTGGATCAGCATGTAAGTATACTCAATATAAATCATTACATAGCCAAAAATATTTTTCTGTGTCTTGGCTACTTTTATTTTGATAATATTATTCATGATTTTTCTAGCCTTATTCTGAATTTTTATTGTAAAATTATTATTTTATGAACATGCTGCACATTTAGAAGAAGTGCAATTCTTTAAAATTTCAAGCTGTGGAAATCATTCATATGAGTTATTAAAAAATGCTCAATCGATCAATCAATTGCTCGAGATTGCTTTAAACAAGGATGTCCAAGTGATTGCAGTACAGGAGATGAAATAAAAGGAAGCTGAAAGTAATAGGAAGCAAGTACAGCGCTTGATCGTACGTCTAAAAGGCCTGATTTCTTAGGACAGGACGCCGTCAGCTGGAAATCAGCGCTAACCTCTGATTGGTCCATTTGTGAGTTTGATAGTATACGTCATCGAACGCTCATCTTGAACTACAATTGCCATCCAACTCAACTGCAGTTGGATTACAACGTGACGTTAACCACAGAAGCAATGGCGGACAACATCCAACAGCACATTGAAATCAGCCGAGATTTTGATTTTGACATTAAACATAGCTTCTTCATTAAACATACTCTTCATTTAGCTCAGCTATAATGTGTTTTTTCTTGGACAAATTCATTATTTGTTCTCTAAAACACTGGTCGACAATAACAAAATCAATACAAATTCAAAATAAATATTTGTTTACGTTATTAACGCATGCGCAATGAGAGATAATGTCTGCGTTGGACCGACTGCTCACGCTGAGCTAACAAACCAGTATTTTATTGGCGTCAGCGGGACGTCAACGTCCAGATAAGGCACTTGTCCTAAGAAACCAGACCTTAGAGACTTAGCCTTCTTCATCAGGGATGTTAATTAATGTTAAGTATTGTTAAGATTTATAGATGTTAAGTATTGACTTTCCTATTGATCATGCCACCAATGGTTTGCGGGGAAAGAGCCAGTTCATTCGTAACTGTGACAGAGCCTGACGAACGTCATTTTCAAGATTGGCAAATGGACGCACAAAGAGTCTCTCGTTCTTTGGGCAAGAGGATCTTTTCAGTCTGCTCTAAATGTCAAATTCAGCCGGCCTCTGCACAAAACATCTTGGACTGCTTGGGTCTTTCCAGGGAGGACAAAGCTTCTCCCCTTCTGGTTCTCGATATAATTGCAACGGTCTAATGGATCTTGTCTGATTTTGTCAGACAGTTGGAGAATAAGCCACAACAAAAAATGCACAATTAGGAATCCAATTCTTTAAGACTCGTGGAAATCATTCATCAGAAGAAATCATTCATCAGACTGAAAAAAAATTACTATTAATTCAACTCAAAATTGAATCCAATTCTTTAGAATTTCAGATTGTAAAAATCATTCTAATGAGGTTTTGAAGAACTAGGCAATTATTGCTTTTAAAATTGTCAAGTAAGAGCATTGTTTTTAAAATGTCTGCTTAGTATGCTATTAAAAGCAGCGATTATCTAAATCTTACTTGGATACTTATAATAAGAGACTGAAATTCTGTTAATATGCTAACGGTGGGGAAAAAAAATTCGAATTTGAAAGAGAGAAAAGAAAAGCTCAGTTACTACTTTGAAGAAACATGTCATAATGACAAAGATGGCTGAAGAGACTAATTATTACGATTTTTATTTTTTTTTAAGTAAATGAAGTAAAACTTTTTAATTTTTTTTTAATAAACGAAAGAAATTCGCTTGAAATTAAGCTAATATGTAAAATATATAATTATATCTCTGGACTCCAACAATCAATTCCTGTAATTGACTAAAGTATTTTAAATAATGTATTTACAAACTATAAGAAAGAAATTCTTAAAATGTAGCAAATATGTGTCAAAATAGCTCGGAAGCAAATAAAGTCAAATTTGAAAAATCCGTGTACTCATTATTGAGTGGTATCAGTTACTTTGACTGTCTTATGCAATAACTGTGCAAAATTTCCTAAACCTAGTTTAAATATTCATGGAGATACGGACATTTTATTTTTAAAAAAATTGCTTTTCGTTTTGTTTGTTTTTTACTATAATTTCAGAAATATTTAATAAAATTTAGCAAATGTTTTTCGTACTTCTTAATTAGTAATAAAAGTATTATTTTAGAACTTGAAAGCACAAGATATAAGCATTTAAAGTCGTTCTTTCTTACTGCGCAAACGCGGAAAACATTGAAAAAATTCTTCATAATTTTGTTCTTGTACTTTGTATTTGAATGTCTTAAAAATTTAAAAAATTCCTATCAATTTTCTTAGTAGTTTTTGTAAGTTTGGGGGAAGAAAGCTTTTAATGGTAAGGGATTTGGCACAAATTTTGTTTTGTATTCTTAAACAAGATTTATTAAAAATAATATCGGTATTTTATAGGACCACCCTCTATCAGATTTATGTTTTTTTCCACTTATTTAAACGTCACATTTTGTTGTTCGGACCATCATTTCAGGGTTATATGATTTTCTATAAATATAATATCTATACATTATCTATTGACTAGTCTATACTATCTTTAAGTTTTAGCATCATTTCGTCTAATTAGTAGCAGTGCACATCTATTGTCACCGAATAGGCGTGTTTCATTAAATTATAATGAATCACACTTGCGATAGAGCAGGGGTTTCCAACTTACATGAGGTCGGGGGCCACAATTAAAAACACAAATCAAATGGCGGGCCGCAACTTTATCTTAATTTTATGAAGGACTCTTTTATGTTTGAAGGAACATTAAATATTAATGGCAAATTTTTACCAAGTTGTACAAAACAAAAGTATTGAATTGCAAATTAAAATAAGAAGTAGATTTTTAAAAAAATATTTAATTGTTATTAATAATATTTTTAAAAATATTAAATAAATAATTAAATTTCGAGCTATAATAACTGTAATGTGCACCTATGTATTAAGCAATTAATGTGCAACAGATATCTAATTGTTAAGATATAAAACTTTAGAAAGGTTGGTAATAAAATTTACATAGTAGCACACAAAATATTTAATGAGAAAATTGAGGTTTGTCTGTTGCAACTACCAGAGAATAGATATTTACATTTTAAATTGAAAATTTCAAAATGTGTGTGTAAATATTTTCGTCCAAAATGAGTGATTTCAAAAAGTTAAATCGGAAAATTTCTGATACGCACATGCTAAATTATATTCACAGAATACAAAAAAATAAAATAAAAAAGAGCAACATACACGATTATTTTTGTATTTGAATAAATATTTTCTTTGATGCAAAACCTGAGAAAAACATTTTTTTGCACCGTTGGTATGTTAAATTTCACAGAAACGAAGAAATTAGGTTTTTATTAGCGAGAAAAGTGGAGTTTTTACCATATAGATTTACGAAAATTAACCGCCAAAAAATGACAACTAATATAATTTTGTTCGCGGACCACAAAAAAAGGCTTCGCGGACCGGATGCGGCCACCGGGCCTGCCAGTTGGAAACCCCTGCGATAGAGCATACAACTATCATAAATTTTTTGGTGCCTATTACGCTTTGGGTTTGTTTTGGTGATTCATACATGTTCAACCAACACTGAATCCAAACACACCGTTAATCTATCGCATGGTCTTCAATGTTGTAGTTCCCCCTGAGGAGATTTAATTAATTGACTATGTAAACCTTCATCTATCAAAAGGTACCTCATTAATCAAGTTAACAAGTCTTATATACTAGTGAATTACATACTAGTACGCCACATATGTACTAGTACGCTACATATATACTAATACGCCACATTACTCCCCTTCCAGAATTTTATCTTTGATAGAATTCGATGAGCGTATACCATAGTGGATTCATGCTGTTTATTTATTTACATCAATTTTGCTCATTATATTTTTTATTCATAGCATTTCGCTAATTTTTTGTTGCTTCTTATAGCAATTCGCTCATTATTTTTTTTCTTCATTTTTATAGCATTTCGCTCATTACTTTTTTTTCCTCAATATTGTTTATTGACCAGGAGACTTTATTTAATTCCCCGGATATATTTTTTTTCCCTTTGAGCAGTATATTTTATTTTTAAGCAAATCAAATGTTTAATGTGGACCATTCATCGATGTTGACGGAGTTCATATCACTTCCGGAGGTCACCAATGAGGGGATTTAATTAATTGACTATGTCAACCTTCATCTATCAAATGGTACCTCATTGTAGAATCGAGTTAAAATGTCTTATATACTAGTGAATTGGTATTCAATATTTATAGTGGTAGTTACGCCACATTACTCCCCTTCCAGAATTTTATCTGTGATAGAATTCGATGAACGTGTACCCCTAGTGGATTCATGCTGTTTATTTATTTACATCAATTTTGCTCATTATATTTTTTATTCATAGCATTTCGCTAATTTTTTTGTTGCTTCTTATAGGGATTCGCTCATTACTTTTTTTTCTTCAATATTGTTTATTGACCAGGAGACTTTATTTAATTCCCCGGATATATTTTTTTTCCCTTTGAGCAGTATATTTTATTTTTAAGCAAATCAAATGTTTAATGTGGACCATTCATCGATGTTGACGGAGTTCATATCACTTCCGGAGGTCACCAATGAGGGGATTTAATTAATTGACTATGTCAACCTTCATCTATCAAATGGTACCTCATTGTAGAATCGAGTTAAAATGTCTTATATACTAGTGAATTGGTATTCAATATTTATAGTGGTAGTTACGCCACACCCTTAAGAATTCATGTATCAAAGTAGTTGACTTTCGACGGCATCCTTTAAAATAAAATTAATTTTAAAAATATGTTATAATATTTTTAGAGCTCATGATGAAAAAATCGATGATGCAAAGAGAGTCTTTTTAAAGTTTACTGTCACTATGATTTTGTGTAGACTGGAAAAACTAAACTTACCCTTCAAATTTGACTTATGTACATTAAAGTACTCAAAATCTGTATATTTAGCAATTTTCCATCACCGTACTTAGTTAGAACTATATGTTTAGATTTCCTTCCGCTAAAAACATTAAATGCTGCTTCTCTGCCGCTAAACTTGATTTCTGAGAATCCCTTCATATTTTGAAGAAAATTTAATTATTTAATTAAGCACCATTCTAGTATCTCACTTTTTCCTTTTGTCTGAAAAATCTTCCCTTATTTCGTAATTTTACATCTTTCAACCCAGCGCAACTTTTTTGTTATTTTTCTCCGGAATAACCATGTCTCCTTCTCTCATTCTGTGTTTTGACACTGATAAAGGTTTGTACTATTGAACCGAAGCCATAGTATGTTTAATTTTTTACCATTAATTTTTCTTTATTTACGTTTTTCATCGAAGTACGATGTATATTTCGCTATTCTGTTTTGAATAAAAATTTAATTTATAATGAAATCGAGCCCAACAAGTTGGGAACTCTTAAACCAATAAACTTAAATAATAATTTAAACTTTATTTTTACAGGGTGTACATATTATGGATTGATGGGTGGTTTGTCCGGAACATCCTCCATAATGACGATTTCGATGATGTCCGTTGAGCGATACTTATGTGTGTCTCGTCCACTGGATCCTAACTGTAGGATGACAAAAATGAAGGCTCTACTCACTGTAGTATCTATATGGTCTTATGCTGCTTTTTTCAGTTGTATGCCACTCTTCGGTATCAACCGATACGTCCCCGAAGGCTATTTAACCAGCTGCAGTTTCGATTATTTGAGCAAAGACGTGAAAAGTCAAGTTTTTATTTTGTTGTTTTTTGTAGCAGCCTGGTGCACGCCAATCCTTATAATATGCTTCTGCTACGTTGGTATATTAGTGAGTGTTCACCACAGCGAGCGTAGTTTCCGGGACCAAATGTCTAATTTTCAAACACCTGATGTCAACGTCGAAAAACGAAAGAAAACTGAAATTAAGCTTGCCAAACTTTCGTTCCTGTTAATTTCTTTATGGACACTATCTTGGACACCTTATGCAATAGTAGCTTTAGTTGGATTGTTCTCAGATGGTTCTTTAATTACGCCCCTAGCATCGATGATTCCGGCTTTATTCTGCAAGATGGCGTCCACAATTGATCCCTTTGTGTACGGATTCGCAAGTAAGCAATTCAAAGCTGAATTATACAGAAAAATGTTTCATTTATGTAAGTCGAGAGAACCGGGAGTAACGAAAAACATACCATCTTTTATAAAAAGAGTTATTGCTGAAAATATTTCATCTGAGAAGGCAGATGCGTCAGATTTCGAAACTGATCCAATACACGAGACGTGTTTCGTTGGCTTTGATGCACCGGACGTTGTACTGAAGCACGGATGCGATTTGACGAAAAATCATATAGACATTCGCAAAACGCATTCATTATCACTCATAACTGAAAGTCAAAAGAAAGTCAGCGATAAAAACGAAGGAGAAATTAGTGATGACTCCAGTGTCTTAAGAATGCATGTTTTCAAACTTCAACAAGTAGAAAAAATTGAAATTGATAATGATCTTATCAGAATAAAGTCTAGAGGGTCATTCTAAAGTATGATAACATTCCATATTCAACCATTTGGCCATAAAATGAGTCATTAAAAAACCATGCTCGCTAATTGACATTTTTCTGAAAAATGTTTTCATACTTCATTAAGAAAAACATTATAAACCGTGATCGTATGCTGACATTATTCTGAAATGTTATTTCAGATATTATTATTTTTCCATTGAAAAAAATCATTATAAAACGTGATCACATAGTGAAATCATTCTGAAATATGCATTGAGCCAATTATTATAAACCTGACATCATTCTGAAGCTATTATATGTTATCATTTCCTTGCTGCGCTATACATTACAATAGCATTTAGTTTTCATAATGTTTTTCCCTATACAAGCATTGACCTATACAATGTTCGTAATATTTTATTATAATTAGAAAGTATTCAGTTTTTGCGATTTCTCAATGACATTAAAGAGAAAATATATTTAAAAAACTTTGTAATGAACTCTTAGGATGACTATATCCAAATTTTTAAACTGACAAAACATAAGCTGTATCTTCCTGCAATGTTTCGAAAAATATTGGAGATTGTTGGATGCCACAGACTGATATTTTGCCAACATTACTTTTATCAAATTTAATAGGCAACTGTAACGTTTTTTAAACAGATATTAATAACTTCATCCAAACAAAGTGAATTTATGAAGCAAAGCTTTGTAAACACTTTTTTTTTGTCTCGTATAAACTTATTCACTTGGATTAAATCTAAACAAAAATGTTTGAAAAACATTTTTACAATAATTAAAGAAATTAATAATGCTAACTAAATTAACCACGCAATAGTTTTATTACTACTCTTTTTCTTGAATTTCCTGTGTTTTTCTATCTAATTGTTCATTGAGTAACCTATTGTCGATCATTAAATATTTTCTCAGGAAAATGAAAGTAAGCACGTAAAATAGTTTGTGTGAGAGTATCTGTGTATTATATGCAAAAGACTGCTATGTTTCTCATAAAAGTTGTTGTAAATATTTAAATTTAACTCATTCCGTATCAATTTTGTGCAAAAAAAAAGTTTGAGAAAAAGGTGTAACAATCACAATCTCTGACAGCTGTTGCTGTTACAAACTGGTTAATATTTGTATTGTGTAGTATTTCGTGTAAATATCATACTAGTCAAAAGTGTTTTAAATGCATTAACTCTTGTATATTTATCGTTGAAATATTTGTGATATGAATTGTGAGATGTGTATATGAGCTTTTATAACTTATATTATGTACTTGTACATAACTAATTTCAAATTATTTCTTTTTATTTGTGCATTTTTATAATTAGAATTTTAAATATTTTATCAGAGTTGATTTCTTGAAAAAATATACGCACATTAGTCTAGTCATTCTGCATTATTAAAATGATAGTGTGCTGTAATCGCTTTGAATATAAAGTAGTGATTGAAGAAGTGATTATATTAATGAGCTTTACCATTTTTACAGTTTAGTTTAGAAGTGTATATGAAAGTGATTTATCAAAACATATGTTTATTTTTTATGAAAGAAATATTTACCCAAATGAAACAGTTATTCTTTTAATTTGATTCTATTTACAATCGTGAAAGAGCTATGATAAAATACGTGAATAGGTAAAGTTTACTAGGAAAAAACCTATTAAACAATTGTTTTGACAATTTTGCATTGAAATAGCAATCGTTATTTTTAAGAGTATAGTAATGAAGCTACTTTCTCATACCGGGGTCCAATGATTTGGAAAATACGCACTGTTCGCTGCGCTCTGTTTAAAAACAGGTGTTTTCTTTCTCCCAAAATTTCAAAATCCGTTACAAGTTCGCAGCTGGCTGAAAAGAGTCATGCGACGCCATTCCAACTAAATTTGCAGGAGTCTAATATTTTTGTACTGAGACTGCACCATGTTGCGGCGGCAAGTAGTTGTTATTTTAAAAGCACTGCTTAATACTTTTTACACAGTTAACAGAGACATCTGTTGACAAATTTCCTTACTAATTTTTAATCTTATTGAGAATAAATTCAGCTAACCAAAAAGTAACGCAACAAAACATGCATTTCTCCTCCTCCCCTTTCTTTAAAAAAAAAAAAAGATTTTTCAAATCTTCGATCATTACTGGGGATTGGAACCGGGCATGTCGCAACGCTATAGTGTATAGTTAGGATGACTTAAATTTTCTTACTCAAAATCTTTTTTCTTCAAATATATATATATATATACATAGTAAATGAACTATTACCAATAAAATTGTACTTGAGCTTCCACTTTAAGGAGAAACCCTGCAAAATATCTATTTCTGAATCAAACTGACACTGTGCCAAACTTAATTAATTAAAACACAAATAATTAGTTTAATTTTTAAATACTTATGCATTTTATTTTTATTTCGTATTTTTTGGAGAAAAAAAATTTTATTCCATGAAGTCATGATCAAACAGAGTTAAATTGAACAAGTTGTAATTTAGGTAATACTTAGCTTTGCACGTTGTAATTTTTAGTACAGATAAATATAGCAACCAGACTATAAATTCATAAAAAGAAATTATTAAAAACAGGCTATAATAAAGTTTTTAATTGGACCTTAAATTCAACCATCTCAATCTTTATCTTCTAATCTATCGCTATATATAATTCACTTATACTTTCAGAAGCTCTATTCTAGGTTAAGTGTTTTGAAAATGAGATGATGTTTTTAAAATCTATAAAAAAATGTTTGAATGGAAAACTTAATGTTTTTAAATACAGAAGGAACAACTATGAACTTTTAAGCAACTTACAATTATTAAACTTCATTTAATAAATTGTATTTAATTATTGTTTGAAGTTTGGTCAAAACGGGATAAGTCAGCTCCCAGTGACTAAGATAAATCTTAAGTTTTAAATTCATCAATTATATTTTGCTAGTTTCATGAAACATGGGCAAAACTGTGAGAGTGGTTTTAAACATCCAAGAATTTTTTTTTCAAAGTATGCATAGTCTGAATCAAATCGCTCTTGGTTCTCAGAGGCGACGAAAGTAATATTTTTAAGCACGGATAAAACGCATGGAAACAATTGAGAAAAGCAAGTTTAATAGCACTTGACTGTTTCGGTGCAACGGCGAATATCCCTAAAAACACGAAGCTGTTTGCGCAGTTTTCTTGCAGCGGTCGTAAGTATGGGGGTGTCTAGTCCACCGGACTCACTACCATTTTCGTTAGCTCTGGATTGATCCTCCATGGATAAATAGATGCCAGAACCCCGAGAGTTTGGACTTCTGCCTGTTGGTCCACGGGAGGTATTTTACCACCTCCTACTACCCAACAGAAAACCGATGGAGATTTCCCTGGTGCTTCACTTGGGGACGCGTTCTCTAGGAGTTACAGCCTCCCCCTCCCCCAAGAGGGTTGACAGTATGACGAGATCTTTTGCTGACTTAAAGGTCGGGTTTCAGAATTTCGTAGATTTTATGATGGTATTGACAATTGTCCTCACAAAAAGAAATCGTGGCATGGAAGATCTGGTGAGTGTGGTGGCTCACCAGCAGAACCATATCGCTTGAAGGAAAACATCTTCTAATACGTTACTAACATGATTGGAAATTACGCACTCAAATAAATGGCTTTTATGTTTAAATCGAAGCGAAAACTTGCATACACGTTCTTCTTCTTCTCCTCGCCACAGTTGCTTGCTATCAGCGTCGTTTTTTTTTCCAACTATAACTCGCAACAGGAATGAAGGTTTAATGTTTTCATAAATAACGTTTTCAAATGCACCTTTGCGTTTTATATCGTTCTATTCATTCTCTGATAAAAATGTTTGAATGTAAACCTCTTAAAGTTTTGAAACGCCATTATTATCAATTAATACTTACTCATATTGAAAATAAATTGCACTTTCTTTAGAAGAAAATTTTTTTAAACTAATCCGTGTGTAATATTAAAGTGGTTTTCCTTTTCGTAGCATGAGAAAAAGCATATGGCGAGAGGCTTTACTTTACTCTTTTTGCCCAAGCTGCAGAAAAGCTATTTTGTTAAAAAAGATAATTTTGAAAAAAAAACTTTTTTTTATATTTTAATAAAATATCAAGCAATTACAAATTGTTATTTCAAATGTGATTAGATACCAATATAAATTCATCGATACTTTTGAAACTTTCACACTTGTATATTTGTAAGATGTTATGATGTAACATAGCATAAAGAAATATGTAACCTTAGATGCGTTAGAAGCCTTGTGAATTAAAAAGACTCATGCAATTTCACAATTTGATATTTAAGTGATAAACATTACTAAATTTTAATTAATCATTATTGAAGTCAATTGAAATAAAATTGGAATTGAAATCATTTCTAATTTGCCAGGTTAAAGTGTACCCAAAAACTAGTTTTATTTAGAAAAGTTATTTAGAGAACTTTTCAATTTCATCAACAACAACAAAATTAGCCGATTTTGATGATTATTGTAATGTGTATGATGATTTGCCAAAATTTAATTTTTTTTGTTTATTCATCTTAAAAAATTAAACAATAATTGAATTTGGAAATTTAAGAAGTTTCAATGATGAATAACTGCTTCTCTTCGATCTAAATAACTGCAAATAAGTGCAAGTTTGAAAAGGTATTGTTTGGAAGTGAGCCATGTTAGGAAGATTTTACCTTTAACGTAAAAAAAATAAAGGCACCGTAGTTTCATGCTGTATTTTATAATCAAGACTTTTAAAATGCTAAATATAATATTTTTTACTTATTTTGACCTAAATTAATACAAAATAATGAAGTAAGTATGCAAAAAATATTTTATAAAAATTCTGCGTCTAAGGGTCAAAATTGACTTCTGGGCACATTATTTGTATTGGCACAACATGCTAAAATAAGATGTTAACAAATTTTTGAATTCCGTAATCCTCGTACACTGAGAAAAAAAAGTATCGTCAAATCTACCAGAACATGGTTAAATTTACAATAATTCTGCGCCTATGAGAGCACCAAAACGCTCGGTAATTTTTACCGAAGCGCTTTAGTAAGATTTTAGTTCAACTAACCATAAAATATAATGTTAAAATACGTGATAAGATTTAGCAAATATGGCAAAATTTGGTAATTTTATCATAATTTCTTGGAGCATTGCATAAAAACTATTTATTCGATTAAATTTACTTTTCAGTTTTGTATTTTTTACTAAATATTTGCTAATAAGAACTATAATTTTTAAAATCAAAATTTCCTATAAGCCATTACCATATAAACAGAAAAATTACTAAATGAATTGTTTATAAATACCATATATTTTGATTTTTATACCAGAACTATATATTTGTTAATAAGAACTATATTACCCTATAGTACGGTAATTTTATTTGAATTTTATTAATTTGTACAAGTATTCACATTAAATTACTCTTTTCGTCGCAAGTACAAAATACAATTTAACAATCCAATTTAACAAAATACAATTTACCAGGAAAAACTTTTCACACATTTAAAACTTTATAAACATTTAAAGTTTGAAAGATACTCCTGCCAATTATGACGACTATTTCTTGAAACAATTTATAATTGTTATCCTTACTGTGAATAATAGATTTCTGCGCGGGTAATGAAAAGAAGAATAGATTCAGTGCTGCCAAGAATAGATTGATTATATGGAAAGGATCCAAATAAAAATGTTTAGGAGAAGAAATGTTCATCATCTAAGTCTATCGTTTATTGAATAATAGTCGATTAAAATTTATATAATATTGAGAAAATAATGTTTAACATTTTTTTCCCTGAAAATAAATGTTATACAAGAGTTCTGAAGATAGAAGTAATTATTTTCATTATTTTCCGAAAACTAAGGCAGGATTTCATAACATACATATTAATTCATATTTTTTTAAGAAACGGGAAATAAATTTATCGATAAGCTTTTTATATTGGACATAGTTTCAATTGCGAAATTAAG